CCAAAACTCTGGCCGAAATATGTTGAATGACACATTTGTAATTTTAAAACGTAACTTATACTAGGTATTCTTGAATGAGCTGAACCCTAGATCTCCCAGTATCAAGTTCAGCTGAGAGAAATAAACGGATAAGGAGGAACTGCCTCTCCTTGATTGTCCTGATAAGCGGAAACAAAATGGACATTTAGGTATAACCATTTTCAGGAAGGCAACATATTCGAACAAATATTTAGACTTCAACTCATCATATTCAATTAGTGTGAAAGTTTTTGTTGCCTTCAGTCTCTTAAGAAGAACACATACACTAGTAACGTAAAATTCATTCACAAACTGGAAAATAACATTTAATTAGATTGTAGAACTACTCTTAACTCATGCTACTCAACAATAGTTATCCCTTACAGATCACATACATCGGATGAGATTAGGAGAATGCTCAACAAATACAATATCATCAGAATGTTCTACAGAACATCAAACACACACTGCAGAACACCTTAGTTCACGTGAAGGTGTTTATAAAATAAAATGATCAGACTGTGATACAGTATGCATAAGAATAACTTCTCGTAGAACCAAAATTAGGTAAGAATGAACACCGAAGAGCTTCCACCTGACCCCTTAGAAATCCAGTGGAACTGAAAATACTTGAAAACATATCAACCATACCTCTACATGTCGTGGTTTCAGATCACAAGGTTGACTTTGATAATATCAAAATTATCATTTAGAAAGGTGGCTTTATAACTTATAAAGAATGTCTCATAACACAATCTCTTCATATACACAGTGGAATCATAAGTGTCTAAACAGGAAGGAATGAGAGAGTAAAAGGTAGTTAGTTTCACTTGGTCTCAACCCACTTCCACCTACTCACATAACCAACATACATCAAGGCGATATCAACTATCAGCATCACATATGTGTACATACAAATCTCAGTCTGTAATTCATACACAACACACTACAAGTGGATATCATCTTTAATCTACAATGCTGACAACGCAGAATCATTCATGGAGAAGAACACTAGTCAAGTTGTTGATAAACAAGCTTGGAAGATATTGTGAATTCGGGTTTCCTATAACTTTGATAAAGCTATTAGCTTCACTAAATAGGTAAACGTCAGTTGAAACAAATTCCCTTTGTTCGAAATTCTCATTGGGAAATATAAATACCAAAATAACCAATGAAGATATTAAGAAGGTGTAAATACACTGCTTGGTATAAATCCCCAACATATTATTAGAAATCGAAAAGGTACTTCCAACCTTTATCTTTGTTATGGTCATCACAAAGCCTTGACTTTCATAGAATCATCCTGTATTAGGTAACATGTATTTCAATAATCCCTTGTTTATTTCCCCCCCTCTAAACCGAAATGTGTATTAATTAACTTCCTTTAGTTATCCAACATATTTTGCCCCCTAACCGGAAATAGTTCTAAAACGTCCTGCCCATTGTAACATATATATTCACGAATGTACAGCTTAGTAGTAAATGACTTTGTCGAAAAGAAAAGTGTTTCATCTCTGCAACAACATCTTGTCTTTTCGTAAAATCAATAGTTTAGGACTTTTACTGGCAAAATTTAAACAATGCAAGAATAAAGACATTTGCAGAGTAATATGAGTTGATTTTATTTCATGGACTTTCATCAGCTGCAAACAGCCTACAATTGAAATGAAGCAGTAGTAATAATAACATAACATACTTTAAACACGCAGAAATAAATGGAGATTTGAAGTCCAGAATTAACAATAAGGTAGTGAATGAGTCAAGGAAGCACAGGATTAACATATCTTAGTTGAAAGCAATGGCAGTTTATATCTAATGAGACAGAAAACACTGAATCTATGGAGTGCAGGGAAGGGGGGGGGAACACAAACGAAAATCAGTGTAAAACAAGGGTCTATTTAAAGAGCTAATATGTTACGTAATTATGTGAAGAACTTGAAAATCGTTAAGTGATTAATATTCAGTGAGTAATTAGTGAGATGATACAATCAAAAGAAAAGGGAAGATTATACACATATACATGCATAAAACTGTATACGTTCATCAAGGTAAAGAAGGGTTAATTACAGTCTTCTTCTGAGTACATAGGTCATGTTGAAAATGTTTGATAGCGAGCCGCGATTATCCTGAAAGATTGAAAAACATCTATTTGATATCCTGTTTGCATCAGGTGCCTTACTACCTTTTCAGATACAGATTTCTCGGAATATGCTCATAAAATTGAGTAGACACCCTTCGTTTAGTCCGTCCTATGTACTTACTTCCACAATCACAGGTGATGTACACAGTTGGAGGTGACGTGCGATGGGCATTTGTTTAATTTCGATTTTTCTATTGAGAATAATGTATTGTAAACTGATCCCTGCTGCCGGACAATAAAACAAAGCCAGTGTACAGTCAAAAGAAAGGGGAAGACTATTCCCTTCTGAGTACATAGGTCAGCTTGAAAATGTTTGGTAACAAGAACTTCCGCAAACTGTAATCAATATGGCCTTCTTTATTTGTTGATTATCCTGAAAGATTGAGAAACATCGATTTGATGTCCTGTTCCCATCAGATGCCTAGCGATTGAGCTTTTAAAGAGTTCTCTACCATTTGAACACAGATTTCTCGGAATATGCTCATAAAATCGAGTGGATGCTCTTCTTTCAATCCCTCCTATGCATTTGCTACCACAAGTATATGTGAATTGATATAAGCAGTTGAAGGTGACGTAAGATGGGGTATTTGTCTACTTTTGTTTGTTGTCCACCGCAAACCATACCTACAGAATTTTCCATCTCATTAGATATAAACTGCCATTGCTTTCAACTAAGATATGTTAATCCTGTGCTTCCTTGACTCATTCACTACCTTATTGTTAATCATGGATTTCAAACCTCCATTTATTTCTGTGTGTTTAAAGTATGTTATGTTATTATTACTACTGCTTCATTTCAATTGTAGGCTGTTTGCAGCTGATGAAAGTTCATGAAATAAAATCAGCTCATATTACTCTGCAAATGTCTTTGTTCTTGCATTGTTGAGATTTGTTAAGGGAACTAAATGTATGACATTTCTGAAAAGACGCCTTACTCATAAAATTTAAAACGCATAACACAGTGGCATTTCGAAATTTCATTATTATTAGTTGTCCCTTGGGTTCCTAGTGGAACATAGGGCTTCAGCTGCACTTCTCCACTTTACTCTATTCCGTCCAGTCTCCTTGACCTGGCTTCACGACTGCCCACAAGCTTTCATTTCTTCCTCACACCATCTCTTCTATGTCACTCTCGGATGACCAACTCGTCGTTTCCCCTTTGCATTCCACTTGAGCGACTGGCCTGATGCGTAATGTCACCAATCGGCCTTCTCAGTGTATGCCCAGTCCAATCCATCTCCACTTTCTTCCTTTGCATATTTGTTGGGCGATAGCTTCTTGGTTGGTTTGTTCCCAGAGTTCTTTATTGCTGATTCTTTCTGGACATCTGATCTCATCTTCAGTATCAAGCGAGAGTAGGCAGCTGTTGATAAATGTGTGTAGTTTGTTGGAAGTGTTTTTCGTGATGCGCCAAGTCTCTCAACCATCATATAGTGGCACTGACTTGACTTACGCCTGTCTTCATTTCACTTCAAAGGCGTCACTAAACTTTCCAATGTGAATCACTTGGTATATGGCAGCATACAGCTGCTGTTCAATGAGGTTGAGAAAGGTTTGTCACACTAAAACTGTAGTATTGAAACAACTGCCTGTCAAATTACTTCTCAGTCGAGGTTATCAAATGTGTTTTTAAAATCGATGAAGTCGAGGTTCTATGTGTTCTATGATGATGCATAGCATATGATTTATTTTTCCTGAAGCCAGCCAATCAGCATTTTTAAATCTTTCCAGGATGATGCAGTTTAATATTTTACTTGGTGTAGACAGGAGAATAATTTCTCACCAGTTCTTGCAAAAACAAAGTAGCCTTTCTTCCTTCCAAACCTTTTATAGACTTCCAAAGTTTATCCTCTTCTATGTATCTATCATATAACTTACTTATTCTATCTGAAAGAGATCCTAGTAAAAAATTAAGATGAAATCATATGAACGATCAGATATATCTTGATAATTGTCACTTTCAACTGGAAAACATATTTTACTACTGACTAATTAATTTCATGATGAAGGCAAGGCAAATTTATCAACAACAAATTTATCTACTATTCTTGTATTCTACTATGTATGATCCATAGAGTAGATAGATAGAACTGTGGTGATCAACACATACAATCAAACTAGAGTAATAAAGTATTATAAGGCGCCATAATTTATTGTTAAAAATATTCTACTTTCAATAATTAATAAGTAGTAAATTTCATTGTATGATAATTTTTTTTTCTTTTTTTCAATAAATAATATATAAATTGCAGAAACAATGTTCATTATTACTTTTTGAAAGCACAAGTTGAATAAATTCAAGCATTAAATTATACGTAAAATGATTAACCGGAAAAAACAAACAAACAAACAAACACATAGGAACATAAAAGATATAGAACTGTACAAATTTCTTTAAAATTATCATTCATAAAAGAAATAATAATAATAATAATAAAAGAGAAAATAATAATTGAATCAATCAGAAATAAGCATTTATCTTCTCGATCAATTAAAAAAGGGGGTAATGTTCCTGCCCCCCCACCCCCACCCACCCCTCTCCATCAGGTATCCCCCCACACATATCCTTTGGAAGATCGTTACATAATGTGTATATCTAAACTGATAAATAACAACTATGTATATCATTTGAAAAGAAAATATTACAAGGTTATAGAAAACAAACAAACAAACAAACAAGTGAACTGATTGTTCATACACTTGATGGGATGTATGGTTCGATTCCATTGTTTGTTGGGTAGTTTAGTTATTCATAGAAGAATAAAATACACAGATTGAGGATATTTTAAAGTTGTAATAACTACTAAACGATACATTTTGTTGTTGTTGTTGTTGTTGTTGATCAGCGTAGATCTTCATGTCCAACAAGGATGAGAAGATTTGAATTAGACATAGGATCATCACTTGGTCTACTCTCTACAACAATATTTCTAAACAAAATATAAATAAATAGGAAGAATATTCGTTGAGTAGATAAAGCCAAAATTGGAAGAAAATTAAACAACTTATCATATAAATAAGCATCATCTTGGAGCAACTAAAAGATGCTCTGGATTCAAAACTATGATCGGAATAAGCTGGCTAGCTGGCTTCAAGAAAAAAACAAATCATGTGAGGATCACTTTGCAACGCTACACATCATCACGGAACAGAGGATAGATAGGTAAAACGCCAAATCTTTACCTCAACTTCATCGACTTTGAAAAGACCTTCGATAGCATCAACCGAGAAGTAATTTAATAAGCAGTTGCTTCAACACTACAGTTTTAGTGTCATAAACCTTTCTCAACCTCATTCAACAGCAGCTATATGTCAAGTGATTTTTATAATGCAAAGCTGAGTGGTGCCTTTGAAGTGAAGATAGGAGTAAAACAAGGTTGATGCATACTATCACCGGTCATCTCCCAGATTGTGGTCGACTGGATTACGTAACAAATTGTGAGGAGTCACAAAAGGGGCTACATTTGGATTTCGCCAACGATGTTGATCTACGTCTAATGTCTTGTAACACAGACTCGAAGATCTACAAGCGAAAACTAACAAGTTAACAGAATGGGATATGACGAGTTCGGGGTCCAAGGGTGACATGGAGAAGATGGTGTGAGGAAGAAATGAAAGCTAATGGGCAGTTGTGGAGCTAGATTGAAAAGACTGGAGAGAAAATAGTGAAATGGAGATTTGTTACTGAACCCGTATGTTCCACTAGGAACCCAAGAGATGAATAATAAATAATAACAATATATGTAAGTACAGCATACCGTATCAATACTCCACTACACTATCTCGTCAGGCAATGTTAGCAGCTGAAGTAGGTAGGCTCATAGCGGCCAGAGTAACACATGGCATCAGTGCATGAAGTCCATTCACTGTTGATGTCAGTTAAGAGAAACCAGTGGTTGAAAACTCTAAGTGATATGAATTAAGGGGGTTTGTGGGGATTTAAAGATTTTCTAAGTTGATATTCATCATGAACTGACATCAGTTAGAGGAGCATAAGAAACTTGGGAGCAATAGACAGCTGTTTCGTCCAAGTATCGTGAACTGAAAGAAGTTAGAAATATGAACAATTGGATTCCGACCCAGTGGGTAGCTCAATGGTAGGTAACGTGCTGGCCACGGAACCTGCAGGTCACTGCTGAGGAGTCCTATACTTGGACGAAACAGCTGTCTATTGCTCCCAAGTTTCTTATGCTCCTCTAACTGATGTCAGTTCATGATGAATATCAACTTAGAAAATCTTTAAATCCCCACAAACCCCCTTAATTCATATCACTTAGAGTTTTCAACCACTGGTTTCTCTTAACTGACATCAACAGTGAATGGACTTCATGCACTGATGCCATGTGTTACTCTGGCCGCTATGAGCCTACCTACTTCAGCTGCTAACATTGCCTGACGAGATAGTGTAGTGGAGTATTGATACGGTATGCTGTACTTACATATATTGTTATTATTTATTATTCATCTCTTGGGTTCCTAGTGGAACATACGGGTTCAGTAACACATCTCCATTTCACTATTTTCTCTCCAGTCTTTTCAATCTAGCTCCACAACTGCCCATTAGCTTTCATTTCCTCCTCACACCATCTCATCCATGTCACCCTTGGACCCCCAACTCGTCATATCCCATTCGGGTTCCACTCAATCACCTCCCCTGTCATGGCCTGACGCATGATGTCCCCAAACTGTATTCTCAGTGTATCCCCAATACACCCACATCTCCACATTCTTCCTTTGCATACTTGTTGGCAGATAGGTTCTTGGTTGGTTCGTTGCCACGCCACAGTTCCTTGTTACTTATTATTATTGTTCTGGCCATCTGATTTCCACCGTCAGTATCGAGCGAGCGTAGGCGGCAGCTGTTGATGAATGTGTGTAGTTTGTTGGAAATGCTTTTCGTGACGCGTCAAGTCTCTCAGCCTATGTGAATAGGAGCACTGACTTGACTGGCATCAGTGTTGAAAATCTGGATGCTGTTCACGCTTCATGCTGAGTGCAGTAGATCTCGACAGTGATTTCAGGTTAATGAAGGCCTGTCTTGCTCTCTTTTCGATCCTGGCTTTGACATCCTCATCTATTCCATCGCCTGTAGTTGAGACGATGCTGCCTAGGTAGGTAGGTGAAGTAGACTACTTCCTTTAGGTTTCTCCCGTTCATGGTGATTAGTGCTTGTTGTTGTTGTTGTTGTTGTTGGTTGGGTATCATAATCACTTGTGTTTACTCTACACTCGGTGTCCCGTCTTCGCTGCCTCGTCTTGCCTCTTCTGCCAACTTGTTAGTTTTTGCTTGTAGATCTTCGAGTTTGTGTTACATTAGACATCATCATCGTTGGCAAAATCAAAATCTTTTAGGATCTTTACATTGGTCCAGTGTATGCTCATCTTCTCGCTCCTCACAGTTTGTTTTATGAACGTTTAGTTGCTGTGAAAGTGTCAGAGTAGAGGAATAGTAAACTATTTATAAACAAGTAAAATAGTTGCTTTTTTGAAAGTTTCACTGGGTATGCCGCTACATTGCTTTTTCGGTATAATATATACGATAAATTAACATTGAAACTCAATTAAGATTAACTGATCATTAGATAGATATCGAATAAAGTTGGGTATTTTTTCTCTTCTGTTGGACATTGAACTCAATTGAAATCGAACCAATTAGACACTGATCAAGCTTCAATTTTAACATTCGCCTAAAAGTGTTTATTATCGGCTAAATTCGCTATGCACATCTTAGTGATAACAGTAAAATTCAACTTTAAACATATTAGAAATATTCATTAAAGAATTGATAGACTTACCTATCACTACCAAGTAGTCGGTAAACATGCTTATCATCATCAATATCTTGTGTGATCTACCGGCGGTAAAGAGAAAACAAGATAAAGTAAGATATATCGAAATGAAATGATTTATCATATTTCCATATTTATTGAAGTGAAACTTTGGCCAATGAACTGACTTATCTTAATGTATTTTTGAGATGAATTTGGATTTTTAATTTAAAGATAAATGAAGTGGATGCTAACTGAAGACCTTGGGTGATAGTCACCCTATGTCGTGAATTGACAGAGGTTGGAAATTGTGAACTACTGAAAAGCGACCCAGTGGTTGGATGGTTAGCGCGTTCACCGTGAAATTTGAAGGTCCTGAGTTCGATCCCTAGCCGGGTCGTGGGTGCGTACTGCTGAGGAGTCTTATACTAGTTGGACGAAACAGCTGTCCAGTGCTCCCAGATCTTTAATGGTTCCCCAACGGATATCATTGCATGATGAATACAACCTCTAAATTGACTCATCTTCAAAGAAGTTATATGAATATACATTTGAAAAGATAACGCATTATTATCACACAGTGTGTATCCATCATTAAAACACAGGTAATATTGAGGCATCCACGCAGGAGCTCATATACCAATAGAGACCGATCAATTCGATCCAACCAATGAGAGGATAACGCTTTGGGGTTGAAGTGATCCGTTTCGATGGGAACATCACCAACTGGGGGACAGGTACATCCAGCTGATGAGTCCCAAGTATGAGGAAGAGACGTGAGTCCTGGATTCCATTGCTAGCCACTATCCATCATTAATATATTAGGTTAACTTTCAATTAAGTAAAGTTTCCACTTGATTCTTTCAAATATGCATCAAAATATTGTGTACCTAATCCTCGTACACTTTGAAAAATTAGCTCCGATCAATGTCGCACAAACTCGAAGATCTATAGGCGAAAGCTAACAAGTTGACAGAAGAGGCAGGGCAGAAAAGACGGAACTTCCTTCAGGTGAAGGTAGAGAAGACGGAAGTGATGAAGATACCCAACCAACACTACCACCACCAACAACAACAAGCTCCAATCACCATCAACGGGAGAAACCTAAAGGAAGTAGTCTCTTCACCTACACCTACCTAGGCAGCATTGTTTCAAATACAAGCGGCACAGACGAGGATGTCAAAACCAGGATCGGAGAAGCAAGACAAGCTTTCACTAATCTGAAATGATCAGTGTGGAGATCTACTACACTCAGCACAAAGCGTGAACAAGATCCGGATTTTCAATACTGATGCCAGTCATGTCGGTACTGCTATATGGTTCAGAAACTTGGAGCGTCAAGAAAAGCACTTCCAACAAACTATAGATATTCATCAACAGCTGCCACCTACGCTCACTCGATAATGAAGTTCAGATGGATGACCAGAATAATGAGAATAAGCAACAAGGAACTCTGGGATCGGACCAACCAAGAACTTATCACCCAACAAATAAGCAGAAGAAAGTGGAGATGGATTAAGCATACACTGAGAAGACCATTTGAGGACATCAAGCGCCAGGCCAGGCACTCGAGTGGAACCCAGATGGGAAACGGCGAATTGGAGGTCCGAGGTGGGGGTGATATGGAGGAGATGGTGTGAGGAAGAAATGAGAGCTTCTGGGCAGTCATGGAACGAGGTTCAAAAGACTGCAGAGAACAGGGTGCAATGGAGATGTGCTACTGGATCCCTATGTACCACTAGGAACCCAAAGGAATAATAATAATGATAATGACTATAATCATAAGATTCGTATAACTATCCTTGTGAAATACGAATTTTAAATAATTCAAAGAAATTCAAGTAGTAGAATAATTTTGAAATGATGGAGAATATTTTTTAGCATAGATGGATGATTTTGGTTGCGTTGTGTTTTCTCTGATCTGGATGGTTCGATCGTAAAGCTTTTATTGTCTTTCTAGACAACATTATCAGCATTAACTTCAACATTGAAGTATGTTTGTCATGCGTTTCATACTTGAAAAGTGTAAGATGATGCCCCCAAGATTGGGTTCGCAACTACTCGAAGTTTAAGAATAAAGAATGAAGTAATTGAGTGGATTAGTCACTTCATTTAGGGTTAGAGAGTTACATCAGCCCGAATACATAAGGTGAGTTTAGGATTTGCGAAGTTGCGACATCTCTGGCTCTGACTGCCTAGTAAGGGAGTATACTGTGCTGGAGTTCCTTCTGTCCTGCTATACAACTGTAGCATTGCTTGTATGCCATGTAATGACCATATGAACAAGAGTATTAAACAAAGAAGGGAAGTTAGTCAGCGAATGAGGTCACTTAGACATGTACTGTGAGTGCAGAGTCAACGCCTAATCTGGACGTGCTATTCTAGGTGAAGTTGGACTAGATTGGTAAGAGGGCTCAAGGCGGTCAGCTCAAGACATGATAGCAGTCCATGAAGTCGCTTAATATTGTCCTGAGCAGTGTTCGGAGACATGAACTACCTACCTACCTAGCTGGTGTTCACGAGACGAAAGGAATCAGTAGTTGAGAAGTCCTGGTGACATAGTTGGAAATCGGTCACAATGACGCAGATGTCATTCACTCTTTAACATTTTCTAAAGCTTGAATGTATGGAATAAGCTTCATCTACAAACTACTCGCTCTCTCACATAACTTTCTCTACTTTGATATCACTTTTTCTATCTACTTATTCTTCGTGTACATCTGTAAAGTGTGGCAAATTGAAGTGAAGTTGTGGTCAAGGTTCTCCTAGAATATGCAGATGACATTGTCCTGTTAGGTGAAGACGCTGACTGATGAGATGCAGAGTCTTGTGAACACTTTGAGTGTCAATTTAAGAATGTTTGGGATGCGTTTCTGACCACCCAAATACAAACTGTTGTTCCAAAATTGCTGTTCAACGGTGCCACGGCTAATAATAGAGAGTGAAGTGGTTGAGTGTGTCGATCACTTCACGTAACTGGGAAGTAGGATCAGCCCTGACGCCGATAACATCTTTGCATGAATACAGAAGGCTCGATTGACTTTCTCCAATTTACGCCACCTGTGGCACCGCTGTGATATCCGATTGTCGATTAAGGGTCACGTGTACTGCACAGCAGTCCATTCTGTTCTACTGTATGGATGTGAAACATGGCCACTCAAGGAGGAGGACATGAGAAGGCTTCAGGTGTTTGACCACCACCGCCTTCGTAGTATAGCGTAAGCCGTATTCCGTGGTGTCACCACGTGAGTAACACAGAAGTCAGGTATAGAGTTTTAGGGAGTGGAGGTAAGTCGGTTGACAACGTTGTGAATTTTCATCGACTGAGATTGTTGACAGGAACACGTGTTACGTATGCCTAGTCACGGATTGCCTCGTCACACAATGTTGGCTGAGGTGGGTCCAGGCTGGAAAAAGGCCTCAGGTGGCCAGACTAAAACATGACACCAATGTATGAAGTCTCTGACTGTTGGTTTCAGCCATGTGGGGGGATGCAGACTAGGGGTCCGCGGGACAAGAGGAACCAGAGGTTGGAGACTGATTCTAGATGATATGGCTCAGAACCGATATCAGTGTCACAGATGTATACATACATTATCCTCATCTTAACGACGCTATACCAAATCTCACCACTTTCTCATTCTTCGTTTCTCTCTTTTCGTACTTTATATTTCTTCTGACTGCATTCTCTTATCTTTATCTTCCACCTCACTGCCTTTTTACTTGATGTACTGTTGGTTTCAGCCATGTGGGGGGATGCAGACTAGGGGTCCGCGGGACAAGAGGAACCAGAGGTTGGAGACTGATTCTAGATGATATGGCTCAGAACCGATATCAGTGTCACAGATGTATACATACATTATCCTCATCTTAACGACGCTATACCAAATCTCACCACTTTCTCATTCTTCGTTTCTCTCTTTTCGTACTTTATATTTCTTCTGACTGCATTCTCTTATCTTTATCTTCCACCTCACTGCCTTTTTACTTGATGTACTGATATGAGGTATGGCAAATGGGACCATTACGCAATAATGTCTGGTCCTAGGTTGATCCTAATGGATGGATGATGGTCAAGGTTCGACGTTGATTTTACCTGTCTATTCAACGAAGAGAATAGAGAAGATATTCATAGTTCAGAAATGTACATATAACACTGGATTGAATTATTTTATATACAAAGTGGTGTAATTTACTTTTCAGTTGCTAAGTCAGTTATTATTTCCAAATGAACCATGTTAGCAGATAGTTAAGGCTTTGAATTCATGTATGTGATGAGTTAGTTAACATAGCGAAAAAATAACACATTCTTACAAAAAAGCAACTTTGTACACTGTAACCCTCGGGACAATAGAAACGATATGTAGCATTTAACAATTGACTGCTAAATATCTTGTCCTGAAAAGTCTTTGTTATGCATAGCGTGAAGTTTTACGGGTTTTTTTTCTCCGCCAAGTAACTGAATGATATGTAGCGACAAAAAGGCAGCCAATAAGGGGGAGTTGTTTTTATGTCATGATTTATGCATGCGTTGACATGAGAACATGACTGGAGAAATTCGACCTTATACAAGGAATCTGATTGGTTCATTTATGGCTTCACTTTCTAAGAGTTTTGTAACTACATATATGTCAAGTATTTGCCTAATAAAAGTTGTCGCTGTTCTTGCAGTCACAGGCCGTCTTTGTCTTCTAATTTCTCCGCGGCTCAGTGAAGCAGAAGGTGCTGAGGGAGGTAAATCATAAAGGTATTCGGTTGAGGTGTGTATTGAGTCTCAGTATTCATTATACCCACGCGTGCAACCCCACCACTCGGTCACAACATTGGATTATATAGATTCACTCGTATCTCGAACCAAGGAATATTCGCTGGTGGAATCACTCTAACGAGTCCCATACTAGTCAGACGAAACAGCTAGTTGTCCAGTGCCTCCAAGTTTGCAATATCTCTTCAAAGGATGTTAGTCTATGATGAATACTAACTTGAAAGTTTTCTAAATTCCCACAAAGATTCATATCACTGGTTTCTGTTGTCATATGCATAGTGGTTAGCAGTAAAACCCAGGACACGTATTTCGTCCTATTTGGGGACTCGTCCTCCAAACGGGCAATGTTATTCCCAAAATAGAAACCGATCAATTCAATCCGGTTAACGATGAGATAATACAAGTAACGACATAAAAACTATACTCATCTTGGCTCCGTGATCGTCTACTGGATAACCCACCGGGTTTGAGCCCTGATGCAAACAACACTACTCATTGGGAGGAAGGTACATCCAGCTGAAGAATCCAACTGGGACGAAGTGCATGTTCTGCATCCCACTGTGCATCATTAATATGAAATTGAAACACAGGCGATATATCAAGGCATCCCACATACCAATAAAGACCGATCAATTCTAATCAAATCACTGACGCGACAATAAGAGAAACAACAAGAAGATTTTCGCCTACAGGAAATCTAGATTTAGAACCTTTTTGGTAAATCATGATTTACATCATTGTGAAATGTATAACCAAGATGATAAGTTATGAAATTAACTTTTGAGTAAAATGTATAACTATACACAAAACTGTTAGTTTATTTGTATGTTGAATAAAAACTGAATTATTCCTTACTTTGCCAGTAAAATCGATTCCTCTTAAACCATGTGTATGGAAAGCGAGTACACTATCAGGTAATCGAACTATGTATAGAGATTAGAAAAAAACATGAATAGGTTAGTGAAATGATATATATATATATATATATATATATATATATATATATATATATATATATATATATATATATATATATATATATATATATATATATATATATATATATACATATATATATATATATGATTTTTCAATGAATAGAAATTATACTGGGTGGTTGAATGAAGATGAAAATTTGAACCATAGCCAGATTCGAACCAATAACCACCAGGTTTCCCGTCTATTGTTCTATTAATTAAGCTACGATGTCCGACTGTTGATCAGATTTTTATTTCACCTTCAATTATCAAGAGTTTTTGACCGACTACTAATGTGAATTTTTGATGCCTTACTATCGCTTGTTTATATTTACACTGGTTGCCTTAGTCAGGACTTTTCATCCCAGTATTATATTGATTATCTGTACTGGGCGATGATTGAAGGTGAGATGAAAATTTGGACCACGGCAGGATTCGAATCAGAGACAACCGGGTTACAGGCCTATATGCCAACAGAGGTCAATCAAATCGATCCAGTATAATAACGGGAAATGACAAATACTAATAAATAACAATATCTGACACCCGTTGAAAAGAGGTGAGCTCTTGTGCTACAATGGATAACACTTTGACTTTTGAAGCAATGGGTGATGAGTTCGAATCCTGGCGGGAACATCATTCACTGGCCTCCAGATATGTTCAGCTGACGAGGCTCAAGTAAGACGAAACATTTGTCCTACATTCCACTGCTAGCCACAACCAATCATCATCAAAATCAACGTAAAGTCAGTCTTCAACCACTGGCTTTTCTTGTTCCACGGACCTTAAACACCCAGTCTGCATCGCCACCCCATATGGCTTATACGAACAGTCAAGGGGCTTCATTCATTGATATCATGTTTTGATCTGGCCACCTTGGGCCTTTTCTCAGCTTGAACATACTTCGGTCAACATTATGAGACGAGATAGATGGTGGCTAGGCATAAGTAACACATGTACCAGCTATCTCAGTCGATGAAGGTTCACAATCAAACAAAATCCTTTCAAGTCAAGACTAGTGTGTCATACAACAAATATTTACAAGTTTTAATCATTTCATTTCATTATGAATTATACACAAAAAAGAAAATTAAATTATTAAGAAGATACTCAGCAGAACTTACCAATAGAGTCAACTGTTGTATCGAATGGAAATTTGGCTATTCGCCCATCTTTACTAACCAGTACACGTCCATTCATATTGACCATTGTAGCATGAGCTAATAGATTTAGGTTAAATTAAATGGATAACACAAATGTGTGAAAAATAATCATTTAATACATCTTTAACTACTGATAGAATGTAGTAGTAGTACACTTGAACATTAAGCAATAACAAGGGAGGGATAGTTTAAGCATATACTAGTTATACTGGGTGATGATTGATAGTGAGATGAAAATCTGAACCGCAGCCAGATTCGAATTATCGACCACTGGGTTGACGGCCTGGTGCTCTACCGACTGAGCTACGAGGTTTGACTCCTAACTAGAATTTTATTTCACCTCAATTACCAAGGGTTTTGCCCGACTACCATGTGAATTCGTGACGCGTTACTACCACATGATCGTATTTTCACTGGCTGCTCGGTAGAGCACCGGGTCAGTAACCCGATGGTCGCTGGTTCAAATCTGGCCGCAGTTCATATTTTCATCTCACCTTCAATCATCACCTAGTATAAATATACTAGTCTGCCAAACTACGGCTATCTCAAATAGTCAAAATGATAATATACTAGTTAGTCATTTTTTTTTGTTCTTAGCAAGTGTTTTTACCTCTTCTACATACAGTGCGAATATTCGAGCAGTATAACATGCAAAGCCAGACACTTCATGCATTACTGTACCTCTAATATGCTGAGGGTGTAAAGCTTGTACAGTTAGCGTGGAACCAACTCTTTTACATTCGCTATACTGTATACCAGAGACCATTATGAAGTGGCACCCAGCCCTACCGAAAGCCTTTCTATGACACTTTTAGCTCACCATATAGCAGAAACTAGAGAAATCCATCCAAAATTGAATCGTTCACATTTCCTACTTCTGTCAATTCACGACATAGCGTGACCTATATCCAATGTCGTCACTGAGTAACTGTCCTCATGCTCAACTTAACTGACTCCGTTGATCACGACTTCTCATTGAAACTTCAGGAATCACCTCTTGAAGCTAGTCATTAAAGAGGTTTGTGGAGATTTATTAATTGGTTTCAGGGTGAAATTCATCATAAAAGATCCTGGGTTCGATCCCTAGCGGGATGGGGTCATAAGTGCGCGCTGCTGAGGAGTCCCATAGTCGGACGAAACAGTTATTCAATATTCCTTCAACTAATGTCAGTCTATGATGATTTCCAACTTTTAAACAATAACAGTTATAGAGGAAAAAAAGAGGATATATAGGTGGGTTATAGAATCAAGCTCAATACAAATGATTTGTCAACTAACTTGGGAAACAAATTAACAATGAACGTGTATCCAACTGTACAACTTTAATCACTTGTAGTTGATCTTCAGCTGAAAGAAAACCATAAAGAAAAAATATCTTGTGCAAGTAGACACATGCATCATTATTAACAAGAGTAGATTAATAATAATCACACTTATAATGTAAGAGCTTATAACACTAACCTGTAACCGAGATTGAAATATATACAGCCTTTGAGCCTTATTGGTCGATTGCTCAAATGAATATATCACAGCTCCAAAGAAAGGATAGATAAGCTTGTAAAAAGTTGAAGAGGCAGACATGAATGTTGTTTTGATAGGTTGAAATGCAAATAAAACTTGATCAGGAGTTGAATAGCATGATTCAGATTTCAGAGCACCAGACAGGTAAACCAGACGATATTAGTTCGAATGTTACTACTATGAAGGTTTTCATTTCACCTTTAATCATTTCCCATTGACAATAACTACAACCTGTTAAACCATGGCTATTTCAGATAGTCTGAGTGATAACTAGTGGAAAACGTAGGCTTTTTCCTCCACATAGAAACCCATCATCCAAGTATAGTTGATCTGGTGGTACATAATTATTATTATTAGAACGTAAATATAGTCCAGTGTAGTAACACTACTCTGCATCATATCTGATAACGTCTCAACCCACTGAGTTGCGTGATCTCTCGGACACCATGATATACCAACGCGTCATAATTATACTTCATTCCAAGGCTCTACTTCATAACACTGACCACCCCTCTACTTCTTGCATCCAGTCCCAGGGTTAGCAAACAATCAACGGTTGGGACGACATGCATAACACATCTCTAAGCGACCAAAGCTGGTGTTTCTAGATGACTTCACTTATTGAATGACGATCTCCATCATGCTCAAGCATACACTGTCGTACATCGGAATTACTTACATTGTGTCGCCACTGGGCACAACCAATCCTACTGGGACAACGATGATTAAACACATAGAGTCATAGCACGTCCTTAGCTCGGAGGGGTCAGGTTTCATTGGCGTAGAGCAGAACTGCTCGCAACAAAGCGTTGGTGCACATAGACTACAGGTTTCAGAAGTAACAAAGGGTGTATAAACCTATTTTGGTCACCGGCAACCATGGGAATGCAGCTTCCGATTTACCCCCCCCCCTGCCTTATAGATTAGATGTTAAGTGAAAGGCTCGGGAAATGGTCCCCTAAGAAAATCGGCTATTTCGGTCTTGGCGACCGAGTAGTTTCCCAGCCCTTGCACAAAATATGAATTTACAGTATGACGATTTAGATTTTTTCTGGTGGAGTTTATAAGTAGTTAGAATATAACTATTAAGAGAATGACGTTTGATAAATATCTAAAGCCAATGATTATATGACTTATGAGGCAGATTACCAAGATATAACCTGAATACTGTCAGTTTGACTATAAATGCAACTCGTGCTTTCTTTCGATTCGATTCCCCCTCATACAAAACAACAGTGGTCTTCGCGCTGGTGTGCATAAATTCCCTGTTGAATTAGTAAGAAACTTGATAATCATTTCTGAAACTACCATTACACCACTAATGTGAAGGTTTCGATTTCACAGATATTTACCTCTTAACATCTCTTGATTAGCAGACAAACACGATCAACATAGAAAAAGGCTTTACTGTGTAACAGTCCGATTTGCCACACCTCATATCAGTACATCGAATCAGAAACCAGTCAAAGTGGTTGAAAGGCATGATTATTATTATTATTTGTCCCTTGGGTTCCTAGTGGAACATAGGGACTCAGTACCACATCTCCAGTGCACTCTCTTCTCTGCAGTCTTTTGAAACTCGCTCCACGACTGTCCAGAAGCTCTCATTTCTTCTCACACTATCTCCTCCATGTCACCCTTACCTCGGATGCCCAACTCATCGTTTCCCATCTGAATTCCACTCGAGCAACTGGCCTGGGGCGTGATGTCCCCAGTCGGCCTTCTCGGTGTATGTCCAATCCATCTTCACTTCCTACTAGTGCATGTTTGTTGAGCAATAGGTTCTCTTCTCATTGGTTCGTTCCCAGAGTTCCCCGTTGCTTATTCTCATTATTCTGGCCATCTGAGCTTCAGTAACGAACCAGCATAAACAGTTGTTGATGAATGTCTGTAGTTTGTTGGAAATCCCTTTCGTAATGGGCCAAGTCTCTGAACCATATAGGAGCACCGACTTAAAGTTGGTGTTGAAGATCCGAATCTTGTTCACGCTTTATGCTGAGTGCAGTAGATCTCAACAATGACCTCAGATTAGTAAAAGCCTGTCTTGCTTTTCCGATTCTGGCTGCGTTGACGTCGTCCTCTGTGCCTGCGCCGCCTGTAGTTGAAACTGTGCTACCTAGATAGGTGAAAGAGGCTACTTCCTTTAAGTTTCGCCCGCTGATGGTGTCTGGTGTTGTTGGTTGGGTATTTTCATCACATCTATCTTCTCTACGTTCACTTGAAGTCCCGTTTTCGCCTGTAGATCTTCAAGTTTGTGTGACATTAGACACAAGTCATTGGCGAAATCCAAATCTTATAGGATCGAAAGTCGTGAAAAGGTGACAAAAACGAATGAGGAGAAACTGGATTCAGTATGAATTTTAAGATGAGGATAATGTATAGATATATCTGAGATACTGACATCCATTCTGAGCTATGCCATCTAAAGTCTCAAACCACTAGTTTCTGATATCACACGGACACCAAACGGGAAGTCTGCATCCCCTCGACACAGCTCAAAGTAACAATCAAAGATGTCAGGTTAAATAGTGATCACTCTTAACCCTTTTCCAGACGAAACATAAATCAGCTGACATTGTGCGACGACGACACAGACGGTGACCAGATATCCGTCGACAAATTCATCACCATTGATAAGATCAATCCTCATAAAGTCAAACTACAAGGGAGAGATCTCCAAAAATAAGTCCATGACAAAGTTTAGTAAAAATGGAGTAGACGACGTTGATGGACACCACTCCAAGTGCACAACTCATCATAGGCTGCAACACGCTGACGCGTGTTCGAGTACAGAGCCTTCAACACAATGATATCATTATCTGCTACTCATTTCAGTGAGAGACACTGTCATAAGACCTCTCTAAAGACCGAGTCAAATACTGTCTTCATGTCAAGAAATCCAACCAGTACATAGCATCAGTAAGTGTGCCTGTGTCCTAGAACCTGCGGGAGGGTCAATAACTAGTGTATACATTCACGATCAGGTTTGAAGGCTACCTGATATTCTTGGATTTAGTGTTCCAGAGATTCATTCAGATGTCTTACACTCGTCCTTCAATCCACCCATCCTTCCAAATCAACATTGGACCAGACATAACTGCGTAACGGTCCCACTTGACACACCTCATATCACCACATCAAGTAAACAAGGCAGTCAAATGGAAGATGAAGAAAAAGGAATTCAGTCAAAAGAAATATAAAGTAGGAAAAGAGAGAAAGAAAGAATGAGAAAATGGTGAGATTCGGTATAGTCTCGTTATGATGAGGGCAATGTGTGTGTGTGTATACACATATGTGACACTGACATCGGTTCTCATCCATATCACTTACAGTCAGTCTTCGACTACTGGTTTCTCTTGTCCCGCCGTCCCCAACCACCCAGTTTGCATCGCCCCCTACATGGCTATAACCGACAGTCAAACACTTCATACATCGATGCAATGTTTTAGTCTGGCCATCTCGAGCCTTTTTGCAGCATGAACATACTTCGGTCAACATTGTGTGTCGAGGCAGACGATGACTAGGTATACGTAACACGTGTCCCTGTCAACGATTTCAGTCGATGAAAGTTCACAACCGTGTCAACTGACTCAACTTGTCTCTTCTCCCTAAAACTCTACATCTACGCTTGACTTCTGGGTCACTCATGTGGCGACACACTACGGAATACAGCCTATGCTACGAAGGCAGCGGTGGTCAGACACGTGAAGCCTTCTTATGTCTTCCACCTACAATGGCTATGTTTCACAGTCATGCAGTAGAACAGTACACGCGACCCTTAATGGATAGTCGGATATCACGTTGACGCCACAAGTGGCGTGAGTTGGCAAAAGCCACTCGAGTTTTTTGTATTCGTGTAGAGATTTCATCAGCTACTGAGCCGTCAGGGCTGATGCTAGTTCCCAGTTAAGTGAAGTGGTCAACACACTCAATCACTTCACTCTATATTATTAACCAAGGCCATGTTAACAACCAATCCTGGAGTAACAATTTGCGTTTGGGTGATGAGAAAGGTATCCTAAACATTCTCAAATCACCAGTCATTGTGTCAAGAAGACTCTGCATCTTTTCAGTCTCTTCATCTAACAGGACTGTATACTAGGTTTAACGAAAATTCTCCAGTGATTAGGTCAACCTCTGTGTAGTCAGGTGACAAGAGGTAGACCTCCATAAGAATATCTATGATAAAACTGATTAAGAATGAAGACAGTGGGCAGCTTTGATGGGCACCACTCGATGGGTTCAGCTCCCCGGAAAATATCGTATGTCAAGTATGACAAACTACAACATAAAACTATACCTGTCATCCGGAAAGTCAATATTGTGAATCAGTGATCCAGTGGATAATGCTGTGATATTTGAGTCTTAGTAGGAATAATATCGCTCACTAGGGGACAGGTGCATCCTGCTGGCAAGTCCCCATTAAGACGAAACGCGCGTCAAGTTGGCTTCCACTGTCAGTTCCTATTCATCATTACTATAAAATTGAAACAATAGGCAATATCAAGGCACCCGCGTAGGAGCCCATATGTCACTAGAGACCGATCAATACGGTCCAATCACCGACGGGTTAATACAACTACCAACATATAAAGTATCACAGACTAAAAATTAGGACAGACAGTAGTAGTTGAAGGGAATCCCCAATGCACCATAACCCACATTGTGTAAAATAACCGTCAATTGTCGAGATATAAGATAAATAGTACTGGGCATTAGATTACGAATGTAGTATTCTCAGTATATTATAGATGGAAGGTGTATTAAGATTCGTGTGTACCACACTACGGCGAACTCTAACCATGCTTTGCCAATCAAAAAAGTAA